GACGTGCGGCCGAAGCGACACAAACCCGACCTGTGACCCCTCATCACGAAGTCGAAGTAAGCGTCAGCGTCGGACTTAAGCACTGGATCCATATACGGTCTAACATGCTCCCCACACTCAGTAATATGGCCCCAATCGTCGGGACCGTGCAAGATCTCCTCTTCGAAGTTAACGAGACATTCTCTGGCCCTGCCCTCCAGCACCGTGGACAGGTCGACGGGCTCCGCCCCAAGCTGGGGCATGGAGAGCAGATCCTTGTCGTAACTCGCGATGGGAAGTTCAGGACCACCAGCGTAATCCTGTCCTGCGCCGAGCAACTCCACGCGGGCTGCCTCGGCATTAACGATCTCCGGGACGTCAGTCCGATGTACGTCCAGAAGGTGCTGAAGAGCCGTAGCCTGCGACAGGGTCGGACTCGAAAAACTTGGAGGCTGGCGCCCACCATGCAACCAATTAAGCGCCTTGACGGAGTCGACGGCGCGGCTCAGAACTGCCTTCCTGCGGTCGAAGCGCTGCTGCAGCCTCCTGCAGCGGTGCCTCGGCCAGGACGGCGAAGACCATGAAGGCGGTATAGGAAGAGGTAGAAGCTCACGAGGAGCAGCACGGTTGTCGGACATCGTCGAAAATCGACGAGCGACAAAAGCACCCGCGGGGGTGCCCAAGGGGTCGAGCTCGACCCCCTAGTTCTTGGTGCCCTTGTCCTTGTCCTTCGAGGGCTGACCTTTGCCCCCGAGCCTGGACTCATCGACTGCCTTCCTCTTCTCCTTCAAGATCGCTGCCTTATCCTTCAGCCTGTTAGCGGTGTAGCTCATGAGTGACTCAGGAGTGTTCCCCGCGCCCCTCGTCTCAGCCCAGCCCATCATGATGTCGGCTGCGCTGTAGTCCGGGTTGCTGGGAGACGAGGCGCGCGCCTCCTCCAGCACGCTCTTGCGCCTCACCAAGAACTCGGCCCCTACCAGGTTCGGCAGGTTACACTGATCGATGCACTGCAACGCATTCAGAACCTCACAGATCAGCTTGTACTCGTGCACCGACCTGTCCCCAGGAGGAATGCGAGCCGCGACGGGCCACTCACGAGCCTGGGTCTGCCAGGTCAGCCCCTGAGACCTCAAAGTCTGTGCGGTGCCCAACGTGATGCGAGGACCCTTCGGGAAGCCATCTAGGTCAGGCTCCTCGAACAACTCCAACACTCCGTCGTTGAAGGTACGCCTGCGCACGCCATGCTCGAAACGGGGCTTCATAATGCGACAATCACTCACCTCCGACGTGTAGAGATCGATCTTGTCATCCCTGAAGCTGCCAACCTTCTGCGTCGGCACCCACTCCACGAAGACGGCCACGGTGTTGCCCGACGGCAGCGTACAGGTCGACACCGCCTTCACGCTCGCGAACGGGCCCGTGGGAGCAAAAGGCGCCTCATCCCCGATCTTCATGTTGCCGCACGGCTCCGCCAGGAGCCACTTCCCCGCGCCTGGGACACCGATCGCACCCGCCTGGACCTGCGGCGCCGCGACAGCCTGGCCCCAGCCCAACAGCTGAGTTTGCACCTCTGCGTTGCCGAGCGCTGCCTGCAGGACCGCCTGAGTCGGGGCAGCCCGAAAGGCGTACACCGGCAGGTGGGGCGGCGCTGGAGGGCGACCCGCATCATCCAGGAAGGTGACCCCCACGATGTCGGGATCGTTACGGTAGTCCTCCTCGTACTCGTCCTGATCAGGCGTCGCAATCCAGGCTGAGCCGCCGTTGGGGTGTGCCTTAATCACCAAACGTTCGTGTAAGAACGCCTCCCCCTCGAACTCGACCAGCAGGCGTCGCCAACTGCACAACCCCGCACTTGTCGGCTGTGGCCACCCGTCCAGGCGCATCTGCAACTGGGGCACCGCAGGAGGAGCTGGCCCCTGTCCTGGCGGGGGCGCCGCGGGCGGCCCCATCAGAGGAGGCAGTCCTCCGACGTGCGCCATCGCAGCACCAAGCACAGACGGCCACCGAGGTACAGCAGGCGCTCTGTAGAACGCAGAAGAGGTTGATCCACGAGAAGGGCTCGGATGGGAGACGGCTGTGGAAATGGTTCTCGATGTACGTCTGATTGACAGATCCGTTTCCCGAGAGGCGCGAGAGGGAGTCACACGTGCAGTTACAAACACCAGTGTTATTAACCTCCACATCCACATGAACTGGCTGCATCGCTTGTAGCCAGGTCTGCTTCTCTGATCCCAACATGAACCCCCACAACGTAGCGACAGCCACATGGAAAGATTTTGGGAGGCCCATAGACCGACAAGAAAACAGCTTGAGCAAAAAAGACGGACTACGGACACAGAATCAACTGAGTTTCAATTCATCTGATGACTGTGCAAACCACGGCGCTCACGCCAAACATAGATGGATTATCCCGCAAGCTAAGGAACATATATATGTATATATATATATATATATATACATACTAGATACTAAAATATGACAATCTGGGGCGGACGTTTGAAACAAATTCGCCAGCCTGGTTGCCCCCACAATCGGGGAAGAGGGAAGCAGGCCGACAGAGGGCGGACAATGCCGGGCTGTCTGGGGGCGCCCGGGGGGGAAGCCCACGAGGCCGCCAAGCGTTTGCAAACCATACCCTTGCAGCATGACATGTGTTGACCTCCCCCTCCTCCTCCTCCTCCTCCTCCTCCTCCTCCTCCTCCTCCTCCTCCGCTTTCTCCTCGTCCTCCTCCTCTTCCTCCCCCTCCACCTTCTCATCCTCGATCTCCTCCGCCTCCTCCTCCTTCTTCTCCTTCTCCTTCTCCTCCTCACTCCCCCTCCTCCTCCTCAACTTCCTCCACCTCCTCCTCCACCTCCTCCTCCTTCTCGTTCTCGTTCTCGTTCTCCTCCTCCACCCCGTCCTCCTCCTCCTCCTTCCAATCGCCGCGGTCCCCAGCGAGGGCGACCGCGCCGACCGGAAGGACGACGACGAAGACGACGAGGACGAGGACGAGGACGCAGACGAGGACGCAACCGAGGACGAGGACGACGACGACGCACGACGGCGACGACGACGACGACGCACTGCGGATACCCTAATGGGGGGGTGTGCTGCGTGGGCCCGCTGCGGTCGACGACGACGACGGCGACGGACGATAGACAACGACGACGACAACGACGACGACGACGACGACGACGGACGATAGACAACGACGACGAGGAGAAGGACGACGACGACGGACACCGACGTCGACGACGCTGACGACGACGATAGATGACTACGACGACGAGAAGGACGACGACGACGACGAACACCGACGTCGACGACGCTGACGACGACGACGACGCACTGCGGATGCCCCATGGGGGGTGTCTGCGAAGGCCCGCTTTAGTCGACACTGACAACGACGACGAGGACGACGACGACGACGAGACGAGGACGAGGACGTGGACGAGGACGTGGACGAGGTCGACGACGACGACGGACGACGACAGCGCACTGCGGATGCCCTAATTCGGGGAAGGTGCTGCGTAGGCCCGCTTTTGTCGACGACGACGACGACGACGAACGGCGACGACGACAAGGATGAGGACGAAGACGTGGACGAGGACCAGGATGACTGACGACGACGACGACGACGCACTGCGGATGCCCTATGGGGAGGGGTCTGTGCAGGACCGCTGTAGTCGACGACGACGGCGACGACGACGACGACGACGACGGCGATGGCAGAACAATTGCGGGGGGGGGGCAGACGATTAAACAATCAGTTCTGGCAGCTGGATTTGATTGGTCTGCCCAGCTCCATTCTTTTGAGGCCCCCGCGGGGGGGAGGAGGTATGCTTGAAGCCGTTGGCTTTCCTTCGCTCGGGGGCCGCAGACAGAACTTGGCATGCTGCCCTCGCGCCAGACTTCGCCCGCCACTCGCCGAGGGCGCAGGAGCCGCCCCGCAGCATGCCTGGACCCTCTCTTCTGGTTCCCAGGTCCCAAGACGCTTCCGCGAGGCGCCCAAACAATCCAGCCAGGACGCTCCCGTGAGGCGCGCGAGCCCGAGGACTTGGAAGAAGGCTTTCGTTAGTGGCCCAGGGCGTTAAGAGCCCAGGGAACTGGAACAAGGTTTTCGCCGAAGGCCACGGGCGACTGCAATGTAGGCATGACTAAAATAAGGAGCCGAACTCTACACACCGACGCCTCTCTGGCCTCACACCGAATCTCGCACAGGAGAGCGGATCCTGGTGTATACGTGACCATGGTGTATACATCCTCCGTTGTTTCCCTGGGAAAGCGGGGAAACAAGTATACAACACCGACGTCGTCCCCGACTGGTAATGTATATGCTCCTGTTTCCGATAGAAATAAACAAGTGCGTTCCACTACTCGCAAAGCACCTACTCGCAGGAGGGGGGTTGGGGTTCACTTCGCTCGGGAGCTCCCGAGCGACGTGAACCCCACCCTCCCCCTCAGAAATCGTGGGGGGTAGGGGTAGGGTTCGCATGCGGTCCCCTATCTTGGGCCGTCCAGGGGGGGCCACCTCGGCGACATGCTGGGGGTCTGGGGCCGCCCGGGAGCCCAGCGTGGGCCCGCTCGGGCAGCTCCTTGTCCGGCCGCCTGAGGCTCGATCAGGCCGTCTGGGTTGGGCCGTCTTGGGTCCCCCTCGGGCCATCCTGGTGCGCTCGTCGGGGCCTGCTACCAGCCTGGAACATATCCCTATCCCTATGCTGGGCATCTCCTCATCACGATGCCAATATTAGGGATTCCCTTATTTTTTGAGGGCGCATCCCTAAGGTTGTCATCGCCTTTTGGCGTGTCAATCTGAAGGATAGGGATACGTTCGAGGCTGGTAAGCCTACTGGGCCATTCTGGGGCGATCTTGGGCCGTCCTCCGCCCCCATCGAGAGCATCGGAACTGTTCCGGGGCCGTGGGAGGCCCGTGTTGGAGCCATGGTGGGACCCGCTGGGGCCGGGGTGGAGCGCCCGGAGGCGCGCGAGGATCTCGCGCTGCTCGCCCCTTTCGCCCGCACGTCGTCGAGAAGTGTAGTGCAGATGATGTTCGGCTCCAGCTTCGCCTCCCACTTCTCGCTGAGCAGCGCCAGGGCCCGCTGCCACTGCTTGCCTTTCTCGCACGCGCTGACCCCAGCATCGTAGCTGATGGCGTTGGGTTCCAACCTCGCCTTCCGCATCTGGCTGAGCAGCGCCAGAGCCTGCTGCCACTGCATGCCCTTCTCGCACGCGCTGATCCCAGCGCTGTAGCTGACTATGGCTGACCTGTGGACTACGTCCGCGAAATCTGCACGAACTGGCATGTGGTGGTGGGCATGCTGCCATAAGGGGCTCGTATTCTGGGCATGCTATTGCATGCGGCTGCCTGCTGTCGCTGCCTGGTGCTGTAAGTAATGCTTCCTGCTGCGTGCGTGCTGCTGCCGCTTGTAGCTGCAGGGCTCTGCCGATGGCAGACTCTGCGTTGTGCGTGCTGCTGCCCGCTGCCTGTCTGCTGCTGGTGCCTGCTGCTGCCGTGCGCTCCCGCTGCAGCTGCCTGCTTCGCGCTGCTGCCGCTCGCTGCTGTTTCCTGATGCTGCAGGGTAAAGCGTCTTTATCTCTTTCTCTCTATCTGCCTTTCTTTATTTGTGTGTTGTTGTTTCGTTATTTATTTCTTTTTTTCTCTCGCTCTCTCTCTCTCTCTCTCTCTTTCTCTTTCTCTGCATCAGCGTTCTGACGAAACCTGCCACTGGGAGAGGGTCGAAGAGCGAGGAGCCAGGGTGGCGAGTGCCGAGGGGTCCGAGGAGAAGCGATGGGCGATCGGCGAGGAGCGAGGAGCGAGGGCCGACATCCGCGGGGAGATTGGCGAGGAGCGTCGAGGTTGGAGAAGGCTCGTCGTCCTTCTAACCCTCTGGGGACTTTGTTCGGGCTCCGGGGCCGTCAGCCATCGATCTAGGGTGGGAGACGAGTCCAGACAGACCCCTCCCAGGGTCTGGGGCCGATTCCTCAGGGACGTCGGCGATATCAAAAGGGCATTGGCTCAAAAGCTGGAGGAGTCGGCGTCTGTCGTTTGTGCATTCAGACTGGTAGCTGCTAGTGTTGCTTGCGAACCGTTCGTTTGTTTCGATTGGCTTATTGCTTGCTTCTTGCTTGCTTGCTTACTCGCTTGCTTGCTGGTGTGTTGGCTGGTTGGCTTGCTGCTTGCTTGCTTCCTTGCTGGCTGGCTGGCTGGCTGGCTGCCTGACTGGTTGGCTGGCTGGCTGGCTGGCTGACTGCTGCTTGATGCTGCTCGCTCGCGCAAAAAGCTGCAATGGGACTATCATGGGCTGAACCTACACCTTCTCGTGTGGCTTCTTGGGCCACCTTGAAGCCCAGCTGGGCGCTCGGAGGGTAAAAAGGCGCGGCGGGGGGGGCGTTTTTGGCCGCCCTGGGGAGATCTCGAGACGCCTCGGGGCAGTACTAGGCAAAGGCTGGCAGCTAAATGCATACGCGCCCTGTGTCTGGCGAGGTCCCACGGTGGCTGCGGCCGCCCGACCAGGTCGGAGGATGCGGGCGGGCCGCGCAGGGTCGGAGGAAAGCTGAAACTCAGAGTGAGGGGGCCGAGCAGTCATTCGTCATCCCTGGGTGCGTGGCTGAAGTGGGACTCCGCGGCGCGGATTCTGATTGTTGCTGTTTTGGAACATCACGAATGACAGATGAGTGTTGTTAGTTCCCCCCCTGAGGTACACTATGTTTTGTTTACTTGAAAGTCCAATCTCGGGGTTCGCACCCTGTTTTCGATTACGGAAAAGCTTAGGTCTCGGAGTTGGGCCCCTGGCCCCCGAATTACAACAACAATGTTTCCCGCCGGATGCCCCCTCACAAAATGTTCCAGAATCGCGGTTTCGCGCGGGATGTCGTCACCATGCATACCGGAAACACGCTCTCGCGTGGGACCCCTTCGCAATTTATTCGGACGCCGAGCCCTCGACCCCCACGAGACACGCTCTCGCTCTGGTTTCTCGCATGATGTACTAGGGAATCGCGCTATCGCTCGACACTTCTTCGCGGTTCACGCAGGACGCACGCTTCAACGACCCGCCTAGGCCCGCCTTCCCGGCCCGCCCGTTCGGGCCTGCCCGCCCGGTCTGCCCGTAGCTTTCTGCTCCCAGCCCCCTCTCGCTACTCTCTCTCGCGCTCCACCCCCACCCCCCCCCGCGCCCGCTCAATGAATCCCCTCTTCCCCTGCCTTGGGGGCCGCGTGGGATGCGCGTAGCAAGCGGGGGCGAAATCACGCTGAGGGGGCATGATCGAAGACCAAAAGAGCGGGCGTCGAAGGTTTGGCACGCACGCGCTGAATGGCAAGCGAGCAGAAAAGCGAACCGTGTTAAAATCAGGATTGCCGTTGTTACTTTTGTTGTTGGGGCTGCATTACCGAACCCAGAATGCACTTTCGCGCTCTAGCGCAGGTGCCAGCTACACTTCTTTCGACATGAAAGCTCGCGCTCAGGCGTTTCAGGGTTCGGCCAGTTCTGGCCCCCTAGCGACAACGAGACCCCGGCTCGATACTCCGTCCTTCTTCCTCGGAGCCGGGGCTCTTGCTCGCCCCCCGCAGCCGCCATTCCAACAAAAATGCACAACAAAAACGACGCCCTCTCCATACTTTCTTGCTTTTCGCCTCGGGACTGGCGCCCCCTGCTCAAGACAGCCGACAAACAACGGCGCCCCCGCTCGAGACCTCCTCTGCTTTTACTCAAGACTCTCAGGAGGCCCTGACGGCCCCCTAGCCGCCGTTGGTCCTAAATCCTAGACAACCAGTATTGTTGGACACCCTGAATGCGCTTTCGCGCTCTCGCACCTGCTCCACGTGACCTCGCCCTCGCTCGTGTCCTGGGTCGCGGCGTCGCATTCGCCGTCGTCGCCGCGTCCGCCGCCGCCGCGGCCGCCGCCGCCGCGGTCGCCGCCGACGTCGTCGCAAAACAATTATTGATGTTGGACACCCTGAGTGCGCTTTCTTCGCTCTTGCGCCTGCTCCGCGCGACCGCACTTTCGCTCGTGTCCTGGGGCGTGGCGTCGTCGCCGTCGTCGCCGCCGCCGAGGCAGCCGTGGCCGCCGCCGCTGTCGTCGTCGTCGTCGCGCTCTGGAGGCCATCGGGGGCCTCCTGGAACTCCTCGAGACATCGAGGGCCAGGGACATTGTTTGAAGGAGCACAGGGAGGAGGAGGAGGAGGAGGAGGAGGAGGAGGAGGAGGAGGAGGAGGAGGAGGAAGAGGAAGAGGAGGAGGAAGAGGAGGACGACGGCGGCGGCGGCGGCGGGGGCGGCGACGACGACGACGACGACGACGACGACGAGCCCAGGCGCCATCAGAAGGCGGCCGACGCAGAAACGGCCCCTGAGAAGGGGCCGAAACCCTAAAGGCCTAAGCTCCGAAGCTTGTCTCAAAGGCTCTAGGGGCTCTCCACGAAGCTCTCCCAGAGGCTGCGAGGCCATTCCCTGAGGTCTCAAGCCGCTCGGGCGTCGTGGCACCTAGAAGCAAGGCCTGGGCAGGGGAATTGCGAAGGGGATGTGCCATCCAAGCTGGGGATGTTGAAATGCCTCGGAAAGCGGTGTCGGAACGACCAGGGAGAGGGAATATTGGACCCCTGCGCGAGACAAATCCCCCATGATGGGGGATCTAGCATGATGGGTGCATGCTGCATACGGAAGCGCGGAACATTCGGGTAAACTGCATGCTGTTGGTGTTGTTTTTATTGTTGACGTTTGTGTTGCTGTCGATGCTGATGCTGTTGCTGTTGCTGTTGCTGCTGTTGTTGTTGTTGTTGGTGTTGGTGTTGGTGTTGCTGGTGTTGTTGATTGTGTTGTCATTGCTGCTGGTGTTGTTGGTGTTTTTCGTTTACGAATGTGTGTAGATCCCCCTCCCCTCCCGGGTAACCAATGCACGTTTCTATTCGCATGCTTCCCCGGGGGTGTGCGCACCCTTTTTTACTAGACAGGGAAAGCGAAATGTCACCAAACTGCGCCCCTGGCGCTTGGCTTACCACAACAGCGGTTTCCGCTTGATACTTCCTCGCAATGTATTCCCACATCGCGCTCTCGCGCGGGACATCCCCACAACGTATGCAGACATCATGCTCTCACATGTGACTTCTTCAATCGATTCGGGCGCCGCGTCCTCGACACTCAAGAATCACGCTCTCGTTGCGGATTCCTCACGGTATATTTGGGAATCGCGCTGTCGCTCGAGAATTCCTCGCGACTCACGCAGAGCAGCTTCAGCAACCCGCCTGCTCGACCTGGCCGCCTGGGCCCTCCTTCCCGACCCGCCCGATAGGGTCTACCCGCCCGATCTGCCCGTCTGGTTCTGCCACATGTTTTCTGAACCTAGCCCCTATCCTGCTACTCTCTCTCTCTCGTGCTCCATGTATCTCCCTCCCCTTGTCCTTTCGTTCTATCTGTCCTCTCTTCCCCTGCACGAGAAACACGCTGCAGGTAAGAAAGATAGACCTCAAGGGGGTACAGTCGAAGACGAAAACGGCGAGTATCGAGGGTTTGGGATATACGTGTTGAATGGCAGGCGAGCAGATAAGAGCGAACAGTGTTAAATGATTGGTGTTGTTGGTGTTGTTGATGTTGCTGTTCATGTTGCTTGTGTTGTTGCTGCTGCTGTAATTTGGTGTTGGTGTTGTGATTGTTGTTGAACGCCCGTTTCTAAAACATATTATTGCTGATATCCGGAAGCGGTTCCGCGCGCTCTCGCCTCGACGCTGGCTACCTTTTCTCTGACAACGAGGCTCCCGCTCGAGCGTTACCTTGAGCTTACATGCGGGCCTGTGGAGGCCCAACTACGACAACAACCGTTCCCGCTCGATGCTTCCTCACAATTTACCCCGAGACACCCTGACCAGAGAGACCCCCGAACTAAGGAACGGCGCTCTCTCGCTCGAGGCTTCCTCGCGATTCAATTAAGTTGGCGGGCCACGACGACAAGGGCTCCTGCTCGATACTTCCTCAAGATTTACTCCGAGAGCCCCTGGCCAAGGCGGCCCCCGAACTCAGGAACGGCGCTCTCGCAATTCAGGCAAGTTGGTGGAGGCCCGAACACGGCGACAAGGGCTCCCGTTCTATATTTCTCCATAGGCGTTCCGAAAGCCCCTGGCCAGAGAGGCCCCCGAACTCAGGAACGGCGCTCTCGCTCGAGACGTCTCCGAACTTCAGTCAGTGGCCGACAGGGAAGAGATCCCCCCCGAAAGGGGGCGCAAGCGAA